GGTGTCATCTGCAAACTTACTGAGGGTGCACTCAATGCCCTCATCCAGATCATTGATGAAGATATTAAAGAGGACCGGCCCCAGCACCGAGCCCTGGGGGACGCCACTAGTGACTGGCCTCCAACTGGACTTGACTCCATTTACCATGACTGTTTGGGCCCGGCTATCCAGCCAGTTTCCAACCCAACGAAGCGTGCGCCAGTCCAAGCCAAGAGCAGACAGTTTCTTGAGGAGAATGCTGTGGGAGACGGTGTCAAAAGCCTTGCTGAAGTCTAGGTAGACGACATCCACAGCCTTTCCCTCATCCACCCAGCGTGTCACTTTGTCATAGAAGGAGATCAGGTTCGTCAAGCAGGACCTGCCTTTCATAAACCCATGCTGACTGGGCCTGATCACCTTCTTGCCCTGCAAGTGCTGCGTGATGACTCTCAAGAGGATCTGCTCCATGAGCTTCCCTGGCACTGAGGTCAAACTGACAGGCCTGTAGTTCCCCGGGTCTGCCCTCCGTCCCTTCTTGTAGATGGGCGTCACATTTGCTAGCCGCCAGTCAGCTGGGACCTCCCCCGATAGCCAGGACTGCTGATAAATGATGGAAAGTGGCTTGGCCAGCTCCTCTGCCAGTTCTCTCAGTACCCTTGGGTGGATCCCATCCAGCCCCATCGACTTGTGCACATCCAAGTGCCGTACCAGGTCACCAACCAGTTCTTCGTGGATAGTGAGGGCCTCATGCTGCTCCCCATCCCCTTCCACCAGCTCAGGGTACTGGGTATCCAGAGAACAAGCGGTATTGCCGCTAAAGACTGAGGCAAAGAAGGCATTGAGCACCTCCGCCTTCTCCTCATCTCTTATAACTAAGTTTCCCCCCGCATCCAGTAAAGGATGGAGATTCTCCTTAGTCCTCCTTTTTGTGTTGATGTATTTATAAAAACATTTTTTGTTATCTTTAACGGCAGCAGCCAGATTGAGCTCCAGATGAGCTTTGGCCTGTCTAATTTTCTCCCTGCACAGCCTCGCAACATCCTTATAGTCCTCCCTAGTGGCCTGCCCACTTTTCCAAAGATTATAAACCCTCTTTTTTCTCCTAAGCTCAAGCCACAATTCTCTGTTCAGCCAGGCTGGTCTTCTTCCCTGCCAGCTCGTCTTTGGGCACGTGGGGACAGACCGTTCCTGCGCCATTAAGATTTCCCTCTTGAAGAGCTCCCAGCCTTCCTGGACCCCTCTGCCCTTCAGAACCGCCTCCCAAGGGACTGTACCAACCAGGGTCCTGAGAAGCTCAAAGTCAGCCCTCCGGAAGTCCAATACAGCGGTCTTACTGGTCCCCTTCCTGGCCTCGCCAAGAATAGAGAACTCCACCATTTCGTGGTCACTCTGCCCAAGACAGCTCCCGACAATCACATCCTCCACCAGTCCTTCTCTGTTTGTGAAGAGAAGGTCTAGCGGGGCGCCACCCCTGGTAGGTTCACTAACCAGCTGTGTCAGGAAGCTATCTCCCACGCTCTCCAGAAACCTAGACTGCTTTCTCTGGGCTGTGTTGTGCTTCCAGGATATGTCTGGGAAGTTGAAGTCCCCCACGAGAACAAGCTCTGAAGATTTCGCAACTTCTGTCAGCTGCCTGTAGAACTCCTCATCCGTCTCCTCATCCTGGTTTGGTGGTCTATAACAGACCCCGACCAGGACGCTAGCCTTGTTGTCCCCGCCGATCCTAACCCAAAGGGACTCGACCTTGTCATTCCCAGCCTTGAGTTCTACAACATCAAAAGACTCTCTAACTATAGAGAGCCACACCGCCACCCCTTCTGTGCTGCCTGTCCCTTCTGAAGAGCTTATAGCCAGGCATTGCAGCACTCCAGTCGTGAGACTGGTCCCACCATGTCTCCGTGATGGCAACCAAGTCGTAGCCTGCCTGCTGCACGATGGCTTCCAGCTCCTCCTGTTTGTTACCCATGCTGCGTGCATTGGTGTAGATGCACTTCAGCTGGGCCATTGCCTTATCCCCCGGCCTTGCTATTGTTCCCCCTGGCACAGCTCCAACAATCCTTGCTTCAGCCCCATCCCCCTTCTTACCTAGTTTAAATCCCTCTCAATGAGCCCTGCCAGCTCCTGGCCCAGGATCCGTTTTCCCCTAAAAGACAGGGAACTGTGCTCTCTTCTGAAGTCCTTACTCTTCTCCTCTAGGTACAGTGCACCCTTCCTCTTCTAAGTACCCTCTCTTCAAGATGGGCCAGGAGGGACATAACCAAGTAGAAGGCATATAGGAACCAAAACATACACAATTTACTCATTTGTCTGTTGGAATATCTCAGAGCCCAGGTCTGTACATTTTCTTCACCCCATCATCTACCAGCATGCACACTTGCAATATTCATCTGAAATATTACCAAATTTGGGGGCTATTTCTCCATCCCTAACTCCTCCATTTCACCTTGTTTTATTGGCTTTGTATCAGGCCCACGAGTACTGTCATGACTAGCGCAATGCTATGTGTAGGTGTGAGGCAGATTAATATGGCAAAGCACAACAGCCCCCCCGCCGACAGACACTGTGTCCGCTTTTCTCCAGGCACAAGGCTGTGCGACCAGGATGCCGAGCAGCTGCAGGGCTGGCAGAGCCGGCTGAGCTCAGCTGTCCTTGCGGCTCTCCGAAGACAGCAACAGCAACAGGATGTTCATGGTGAGAAGCGCCAGCCCCTGAGCCCTGAGCCCTGAGCCCTGAGCCCCGGAGGAGAGCCCGGCCCTGCGACGGCAGCAAGAGGACCGGCGCTGTCCCCGACAAAGCCCGGTCCCCACGGGGCCCGCACGCGGCCGCACCCCAGCCGTCGCCCAGCCCCTGCTCCCAGCTCTCCTGGGGCGCTGGGAGCAGCAGGGCTGAGCGGGGCCGTCGCAGCCCTCGCGGTGGCTGACGTGCTGCCCTTCCTCCCACAGATCTTCATGAAGTACCTGCAGCCCTCGGAACGCCTGGGCAGTCTTCCTGAGCGCCGTGCAGAGCATGAGAGCCCCGAGTCCCCACAGCACCGAGCTGGCTGCCCACATGGTGGACGTGCTGGCGGCAGAGACCGACTTCCATTCGGGACAGGTGGGTGCCCGCCAGCACCCCCGGCCACGGCCACGGCTCCAGCCTCCAGAGCTCCTCGGGGCTCTGTTCCTGCCCTGGTGCCGGCCCAGTCTCAGCCGTGTCCCACCGGCAGGTGCTCCACATCGTGTGGGCCATCTACAGAAGCCTGCCGTCCGTCAGAGCCGCGCTGGCCCTTCAGAGCCTGGACAGGGCCCTGCTGCTGCTGGCCAGCAAGCGCCCCAGGGAGACGGTTGCCAGCCTGCTGCAGTGCTCGCTGACCTGCACCAGGTACGGGGCCCAGCAGGGCTCCTCTCGCACACCCCCAATGCCGTCAGCCGGGCTGGGGGCGGCCCTGCTGACAGCCCGGGGGTCCCGCAGCAGTCGCCGTCACCATGTGGAGGGCGATGGTGTCTGAGCCCCCAGCCACAGAGAGGGTGCTGCGCGAGCTGCTCCGCATCCTCATGAACCAGTCTGGCTGCAAGACATCCACCTCCACCAAGGACCACCCGCGCATCCTGGCCCTGGCCGTGAGTTCCTCGCTTGCCCGTCTGCGTCTCCGTCGGGCAGGGGCAGGGGCAGGGGCAGGGGCCAGGGCCGGGGCAGGGGCCGGGGCAGGGGCAGGGGCAGGGGCAGGGGCAGGGGCAGGGGCAGGGGCAGGGGCAGGGGCAGGGGCCCTGCTCCCCTCCCCTGGCCCCTGCCAGCCTTCTCCGCACCCTGGGGCACCAGCCTGGGGGGCTGCGTCCTCCTCTGTCCCTCCCTGCCCACGCCTCCGCCTCCGGGTGCTTCCTGCAGGCAGCAAGGCCCCTCCACGAGATCCTCCTGCTGCCTACCAGCCGGGGGGAGGCGAAGGCCATTTTCCCCCAGCTCTTCCTGGCCCTCCTCTTCCAAGTGTCCTTCACCACGGAGCTGAAGCTGCAGGAGGTGCAGGTCTTCTGGGAGAAGCACCGGCAGGACCTGCTCACTCCCGTCAGGTGCCACATCCCCGGCCCCTGCTGCTCAGAGGAGCCCAGGGCTGGGGCTCCCGGCGTGACCCGGGCCCTTCTCTGCCTGCAGGTCCACGGTGCAGGCCCTGAAAGCGCTGCTCCGCAGCGTGGGCCTGGGGAGCCCGGTGCTGGCCATCGAGGCGCAGGGCGGCTGGGCCGCGCTTCTCAGCGCCGAGAGCCACCTCTGGGGCGTGCAGGTGGTGGCCAGGTGAGAGCCCCTCGTCGGCACCATCCCAGCCCTGGAGGTGACAGGGGCTTCTCGGAGGAAGTGCTGCCACAGCATGGGTGCCCGTGGCCGCTGGGCTGGTGGCAAAAGAGAGCGCTGCAAAGCCAGGAGAGCTGGGCCCGCCCGGCTCGGGGCTGACGGCGCCTGCTTGCCGTTCTCCCTGCCAGGGAAATGAAGGAGTTGCCCAGGAGCCTGCGCGCCACCATCATCCACCAGCTGGTTGAGCTGCTCCGCACGGAGGCCTCCTCCTGGCAGACGGTGGCCATGGTCATCCTCAGCAAGGTGAGCAGGGGCAGCAGGAGCAGCGAGCCCACGTGGGGCTCTGCACAAGCCCTGCTGCCTCGGGGCCAGGCTTGGCCGTGCCCTGGCATTCCTGCCCTGGCATTCTTGCTGCTGAGCCGGCACTGCGCCCCACGTCCTTTTCAGCTGCTGGAGTGCACAGAGCTCGGCGACGAGCTGGACTGCGTCGCGAGCCTCTTTGCCAGCTACCTGCGGAGCCCGTGCCTGGGCATGCAGAGCCTGGTGCTCAGGGCGATCCTGGGGCTCACCGAGAGGCCGGCCACGGTGAGCGGGGGCAGCCGGCAACGCCACGAGTGCCGCGGCTTGGGCTGGGCTGGCCCCGGGCTCTTGTGGCTCGGCACCTTGCCAGGCAGCGGGGAGGGCAAGGGGCGTTGGGTGGGCTGGGAGAGTGTTTTCGCCCAGGGGGCAGTCCTTGCTTTCCCCAAAGGAAGGTGTTTTGTTCACACAGGCGAGGCAAACGCTCCTCCTGCTGCCGAGCATCACGGAGCAGCTGCAGGCTGCAGACAGCGACACCCGCGCTGTCGCTCTGCCCGTGCTCAGCACCATGCTGCGGCTCCTGGAGGGGAGGACGCTCAGCCTCGCGGCTCTGGAGCTGGCCGGCAAGCTCCCAGCCCTCTTTGGCGACGTAAGGCTGCGTCCCCATGGCTGTGTCCCTGGGACAGCCCGCTGGGGGCTCTCCCTGCCCGCTTCCCAGCCCTGGGCGCCGCGAGCCCTTGGGCAGGCTCATTTGGGAGCGCTTTTGGGGGATCGGGGACTTTGCCCACAGCAGGACCCATGTCCTCCCTCTCGCCCTCCCCAGGACTCAAGTACAGTGCGGCTTCTCTCTATTCGCCTCTTCCTCGACACGCTGGGCTTTGTGGAGGGCAGCCAAGAGAAGCTGCAGCAGGTGGCACACAGGAGCCTGCTCCCGCTGTCCCTCCACCTGCACGACCAGGACGAGAGCGTGGCCGAGGTGGGCATTTTGCTCCTCGGGGGAGGGCGATGCTGACTGCCCTGCCCTGCCCTGCCCTGCCTTGGGGGCCCCCGAGCACCAGGGGTGCTGCAGCTGCTGGCAGCGTTAGTCTCCACTGAGGCCCCCTCCCTGCGGAGGGGCTGCGGGGGGGGAGCAGGGTCTTCTGCCCAGGCTCTGCTGCCATCTCAGCTGTTCTGCAGGCCTCCCGGGAAGCCCTCCTTGGTGTTGCGCGCTTCCTGCGCTGGAGGCAGCTGGCGCACCTGGCCGAGACGCTGCAGAGCTGGAAGATCGGCGAGTGCCTGGTACGCACAGTTCTGCACCCAGGGCCGGGGCCGGGGCCGGGGCCGCCCTGCGCTGAGCCCGCGCCCTTCCCTCTGCAGCTGGCCAGGAGGAGCAGCGCAGCAGAGGAGTACCTGGCCCAGAGCCTGCCCTACCTGCAGAGCCTGCAGGAGCCCCTGCGGCGGGAGGCTGTGAGGTTCACTGGTGAGCCGCGAGCCTGGCGTCCCCCGTCCCTGTGCCTTCGTGCTGCGCCCCGGGGAGCAGCCGGGGGCGCTGACAGGCCGTGTGTCCCCAGGGCTCGTGGGGAGGCACCTGCTGGATCAGCACCAGAGCAAGAGCCAGGACATCTGCCAAGGTGAGCCAGGGAGGGGGATGGCAGGAGCCTGTCCCCTGCTCCCTCCTGGCTGTGCGGAGAGCTGGGGGCAACGTCTGCGGGGGGCCGGGCGCTCTGCGGGTACAGGGCCGTCACCTCGCCTCTCCTTCTCTGTTCTCTCAGTCCTGCGAGGCTTGGCAAACGACCCCAGCGAATCGGTCTCGTCGCTGGCGATTCAGACGGTGCTGATCCTGCAAGCACCAAGGCCACGCTCGCGCTTCAGCTTTCGGCAGCTGTGCTCCAAGCTGCAGAAGGCGTGGAGGAGGCGACGCTCTTCCCCGGCAGGCAGCTGAGCGTGCTGGAAAGCTCCCGGCATCTCCTCCTGCCTGCGGCGCAGCCCCGCTCCCCGGGCACGTTCCCTCCACTTCTCCGGCCTTCTGCGTGCCGGGGGCACGCCCGAAGCAGCTCCCAAAGCCCATGAACAACAGGGCTTCAGCCGGCGCCTCTCCAGCAGCGAGCCTGCTCCAAGACCCCCGCTTCGGCCTGGGACACTGCCAGGGATGGCACAGCCGCAGCTCCACTGGGCCACCCGCCCTCAGCGCGGAAAGTGGCCTCCTCCTCCTCCTCGTTGCCATCAGAGCTGGCCAGCAGCATCCTCAGCTACACGCAGGCTGTGCCTCCCCAGCCCCGGGGGCACTGTGCAGCCCTCCCTGGAGCGCAGCTCTGCGCACACGCCCCACGCCTGGGGGCCTCGCTCTTTTGCCCTCTCTCTGGCCTTTCGCGCGGTCTCACCCATTTTCTTTCCCTTCCCTTCCCTGCCCTGCCCTTCCCTGCCCTGCCCTGCCCTGCCTTGCCCTGCCCTGCCCTGCCCTGCCCTTCCTGCCCTGCCCATCCCTTCATTTTTTCCTCCCTCTTCCTTTTCCCTTTAATTAAACTTTTTGTATCTCAAAATGCCCTCTCTCTGGCCTTTCGCGCGGTCTCACCCATTTTCTTCCCTTCCCTTCCCTTCCCTTCCCTTCCCTTCCCTTCCCTTCCCTTCCCTTCCCTTCCCTTCCCTTCCCTTCCCTTCCCTTCCCTTCCCTTCCCTTCCCTGCCCTGCCCTGCCCTGCCCTGCCCTGCCCTGCCCTGCCCTGCCCTGCCCTGCCCTGCCCTGCCCTGCCCTGCCCTGCCCGTCCCTTCATTTTTTCCTCCCTCTCCCTTTTCCCTTTAATTAAACTTTTTGTATCTCAAACCACGAGCTCCACGTGTCTGTCGTATTTTCTCCCCCTGCCTCTTGGAGGAGAGGCAGGGAGAGAGCGGCCGTGCTGGAACTCGGCTGCCCACCTGAGGAAAACCAGCACCCTGTTGGGACAGCAGGGGCATGCTGGAGTGCTGCCTTTCTCCACTTCACCATTTGCCTGGAGGAAGGATCTGCCCCCTCTGACTCTGGCCAGCACTGAGTGTCCTTTTGGGATGCTGCCAGGCTGCACGAGGACAGCCAGGCGCTGTAGCACTGGGGAGAGTCTCCAAGTGCCTTCCCTCCAGAGGCCAGCTCTTCTGAAGACAGCAGTTTCCCCCAGCAGGGGGAAACCAAAACCAGTGCTTTGTGCCCCAAAGAAGAGGCTCTGAGCACAGAACCAGAGGCCTTGGGTCTGAAAAATCAAATAAATAAATAAATAGAAAAAAATAAACGAAACAAAGAAAAGGAAAAAACAAAGAGAAAAATGGCGTTGGATCCTAAAAGGCTTCTTTGGTCCCTCAAAGCCTCTGGGCTGCATGGTCCCAAACCCCAGTTTTAAAGTCCAAAGCCTCACTACTTTGAGGACCACCCCTTGGTTAGGATCCAAAGGATCTTCATTAGTAGGCCCCCGTGTTTCCTTGTTTGCCTGCCACAGCTTTCTTTTCAGGGTCCAGCACCTCCACTTGGGATCCAAAGTCGTCTTTTGATCTCGTGACCCCTCAGAATTGAGCCCCAGGCTCTACGTTCTAGTGAACAAATCTTGCTTTTCAGGGCCCTGCAACTCCATGCTGATCCAAAGGGGACTTTTTATGGCTTACCTCCTCAGTTTTCAAGCCCACGCCATCATTTTTAGGGCACAATGCCTTACTTTGGTGTCTCACAGTTTCATTGTAGGCTGCAAAGCTGCCTTTATAGGGTGCAATACCTTAGCTGACAGGAACCCTCTTTCATTTTTGGTTTCAAAATGTTCATTCGAAGAGCCAAGGCCTGAGGCTTTGGGCCCAAAGCCTCCTTTTCGGGTCCAAACACCCATCTGGAGGGAGCAAAGCATCGCTCTTGGATCTAGACAGAGGAGGGCAGGCTGTGCTGTCTGACATTTCTAGGCCGCAGCCTCACATAGTAGGGCAAAAGCCTCTTCCTTGGGCTCAAAAGCCTTGATTGAAAGGATAACCTCTCCTGGTTTTTTGTTGCTTACACATCAATCTTAGAGACCAGGCTGCCATTTCCAAGGAACAATTCCCTATTTTTAGGATCCACAATTCTATTATAAGATGCAATGCGGCCTTCTTAGATGGCCAGGCCTCCCCCTTAACCTAGCTTCTGGATCCAATGTCAGATTTTTCTTGCTTCCAGCCACACTCTTACGGACCAGGCTGCCCGTTTTAGGGCAACATGCCCAATTTCTAGGGTCCACACTTTGATCGTAAGGTGCAAAGCGGCCCTTTTAGATGCCGAGGCCTTATTTGAGAGGAAAAGCCCTCATTCCATATTCCCAAATCCTCATGCTAGGAGCCGAGGCCTGAATTTTAGGGTCCAAATCCTCCTTTTCAGGTCCAAACACCCATCCGGAGGGAGCAAAGCATCACTTCAAGATCCAGACAGAGCAGGGTGGGCCGCGCTCCCTGTCACGGTGACAGCCTGCTGCACCACCTGCCTGTGACCAGGCCACACGGGACACCTCGGTTTGGACAAGGCGCCCTCCACAGCGCAGTGCAGCCACTGGGGATGCAACAGGCTTTTTATCACCTACACCCTCTGTTTTTGGACGCAGGCCCTCCTTTTTAGGGACCAAAACATTTTTGTTTTAGTCCTCAGCGTCACATATTAGGGCAGAAAGCCTCTTCCTTGGGCTCCAAAGCCTTGTTTGAAAGGAGAAACCGTCCTTTTTAGTGGCTTTTCTTGTTTACATCCACAATCTTAAGGACCAGGCTGCCATTTTCAAGGAAGAAATCCTTGTTTTTAGGGTCCACACGTTCATTGTAAGTTGACAAGCGGCCTTCTTATATGCTGAGGCCTTCTTTGAGAGGCCTCACCACATTCCAAATTCCCAAATCCTCATGCTGGGAGCCGAGGCCTGAATTTTAGGGTCCAAATCCTCCTCTTTCGGTCCAAACACCTAGATGGAGGAAACAAAGCAGCACTTGAGGATCCAGACCCTGAGCTGCAGAGTCCAAAGGCCCAGCTTTCAGCTCCAAAGCCTGACTTGGAGATACAAGACACGCCCTCTCCTCCTCCTCACTGCCTCTTGCCTCCTCCCCTCCTCAAATTTTAACACGCCATCTAAGAAGGACGCGTTGCATCTTATAATAAAATTGTGGACCCTAAAAATAGGGAATTGCCCCTTGGAAATGGCAGCCTGCTCTGTAGGATTGACGTGTAAGCAAGAACAATCCTGTCAAAAGGAGGGTTCATCCTTTCATTCAAGGCTTTGGAGCCCAAGGAAGAGGCTTTCTGCCTCAATATGTGACTCTGGGGCCTAAAAAGAATGCTTTGGGCCCTAAAAGTGAGAGCCTGGGTCCAAAAACGGAGGGTGTAGGTGATAAAGGCGGCTTTGGATCCCAACTATAGGCTCTCTTGTCCTGAAAACATCCTGAAAGCTGGGTGCTTAAGAACAAGGCTGTGGTCTATACAGAGGAGCCTTGGTGCCATGCCTGTATGCTTCTCAGCTGCAAAGAAAGGGTGAGAAAAAGGCTTTGGATCCGCAAAAGATGCTCTTAGCCCTGAAGAGAAGGGGTTATAGGGTGAAAATGAGACATTTGGCCCTAATGAGGAAGGTCTCAAGAAGGCGGCTCTGAATTCAAGAGGTGGGTCTCCGGGCCCTAATATTAAGGCTTTGATCACCGAAAACTAGACTCTTGGCCTACAAAAAAGTAGGTAGGCAATCAGGAGGGGACTTAGGATTCCAAAGCAGCGTCTGGGCCCTGAAAATCAGGGTTTGGAGCCTGAGCATGAGACGTCAGCCATGAAGAATGAAGTTTTAGAGCCTAGCATGGGGGTCTCTGGACACTAAAATGGGGCTTTGAACCCAGAAAATGAGCCTTTGTACCCCAACCTGAGGCTTTGAGTCCCAAGGAGAAGGCTCTGGGTGCTAAAAAAGAGGCTTTGGGCTCTCAGGTTGAGCCTTTGGGATGTGACAGTCAGGCCTTGACTCAGCAAATGATGATCCTGGCACTGAAAAGGAGGGCTCATTCTCTAAAAAGGGCTTTGAGCCCAAGGAGGATGCTTTTTGCCCTAATATGTGATGCTGGGGCCTAAAAATGATGGACAGTGCGGCCCGCCCTCCACTCTCTGCTTCCTCAAAATGGATGTTTGGACCCCAAAATTCAGGCCTCAGCTCCTAGCATGAGGATTTGCGAATTTAAAAGGAGGGGTGCCCTTCTGATTGCCTTGGATAAGGCAATCAGAAGAAGAGTTCAGATACCAAGTGGAGGTTGTGGACCCTGAACATAGGGATTTGGGGTGAAATAAGGAAGCATGGGGCCCTAATAATGAGGTTTTGGACTGTTAAAATTTGAGGAGGGGAGGAGGCAAGAGGCAGTGAGGAGGAGGAGAGGGCGTGTCTTGGATCTCCAAGTCAGGCTTTGGAGCTGAAAGCTGGGCCTTTGGACTCTGCAGCTCAGGGTCTGGATCCTGAAGTGCTGCTTTGTTTCCTCCATCTAGGTGTTTGGACCCACAAAGGAGGATTTGGACCCTAAAATTCAGGCCCTGGCTCCCAGCATGAGGATTTGGGAATATGGAATGAGGGCTTTTCCTCTCAAATAAGGCCTCGGCATCTAAAAGGGCCGCTTTGTACCTTACGATCAAAGTGTGGACCCTAGAAATTGGGCATGTTGCCCTAAAACGGGCAGCCTGGTCCATAAGAGTGTGGCTGGAAGCAAGAAAAATCTGACATTGGATCCAGAAGCTAGGTTAAGGGGGAGGCCTGGCCATCTAAGAAGGCCGCGTTGCATCTTATAATAGAATTGTGGATCCTAAAAATAGGGAATTGTTCCTTGGAAATGGCAGCCTGGTCTCTAAGATTGATGTGTAAGCAACAAAAAACCAGGAGAGGTTATCCTTTCAATCAAGGCTTTTGAGCCCAATGAAGAGAGGCTTTTGCCCTACTATGTGAGGCTGCGGCCTAGAAATGTCAGACAGCACAGCCTGCCCTCCTCTGTCTAGATCCAAGAGCGATGCTTTGCTCCCTCCAGATGGGTGTTTGGACCCGAAAAGGAGGCTTTGGGCCCAAAGCCTCAGGCCTTGGCTCTTCGAATGAACATTTTGAAACCAAAAATGAAAGAGGGTTCCTGTCAGCTAAGGTATTGCACCCTATAAAGGCAGCTTTGCAGCCTACAATGAAACTGTGAGACACCAAAGTAAGGCATTGTGCCCTAAAAATGATGGCGTGGGCTTGAAAACTGAGGAGGTAAGCCATAAAAAGTCCCCTTTGGATCAGCATGGAGTTGCAGGGCCCTGAAAAGCAAGATTTGTTCACTAGAACGTAGAGCCTGGGGCTCAATTCTGAGGGGTCACGAGATCAAAAGACGACTTTGGATCCCAAGTGGAGGTGCTGGACCCTGAAAAGAAAGCTGTGGCAGGCAAACAAGGAAACACGGGGGCCTACTAATGAAGATCCTTTGGATCCTAACCAAGGGGTGGTCCTCAAAGTAGTGAGGCTTTGGACTTTAAAACTGGGGTTTGGGACCATGCAGCCCAGAGGCTTTGAGGGACCAAAGAAGCCTTTTAGGATCCAACGCCATTTTTCTCTTTGTTTTTTCCTTTTCTTTGTTTCGTTTATTTTTTTCTATTTATTTATTTATTTGATTTTTCAGACCCAAGGCCTCTGGTTCTGTGCTCAGAGCCTCTTCTTTGGGGCACAAAGCACTGGTTTTGGTTTCCCCCTGCTGGGGGAAACTGCTGTCTTCAGAAGAGCTGGCCTCTGGAGGGAAGGCACTTGGAGACTCTCCCCAGTGCTACAGCGCCTGGCTGTCCTCGTGCAGCCTGGCAGCATCCCAAAAGGACACTCAGTGCTGGCCAGAGTCAGAGGGGGCAGATCCTTCCTCCAGGCAAATGGTGAAGTGGAGAAAGGCAGCACTCCAGCATGCCCCTGCTGTCCCAACAGGGTGCTGGTTTTCCTCAGGTGGGCAGCCGAGTTCCAGCACGGCCGCTCTCTCCCTGCCTCTCCTCCAAGAGGCAGGGGGAGAAAATACGACAGACACGTGGAGCTCGTGGTTTGAGATACAAAAAGTTTAATTAAAGGGAAAAGGGAGAGGAGAGGAAAAAATGAAGGGACGGGCAGGGCAGGGCAGGGCAGGGCAGGGCAGGGCAGGGCAGGGCAGGGCAGGGCAGGGCAGGGCAGGGCAGGGAAGGGAAGGGAAGGGAAGGGAAGGGAAGGGAAGGGAAGGGAAGGGAAGGGAAGGGAAGGGAAGGGAAGGGAAGGGAAGGGAAGGGAAGGGAAGGGAAGGGAAGGGAAGGGAAGGGAAGGGAAGGGAAGGGAAGGGAAGGGAAGAAAATGGGTGAGACCGCGCGAAAGGCCAGAGAGAGGGCATTTTGAGATACAAAAAGTTTAATTAAAGGGAAAAGGAAGAGGGAGGAAAAAATGAAGGGATGGGCAGGGCAGGAAGGGCAGGGCAGGGCAGGGCAGGGCAGGCAGGGAAGGGCAGGGCAGGGAAGGGAAGGGAAAGAAAATGGGTGAGACCGCGCGAAAGGCCAGAGAGAGGGCAAAAGAGCGAGGCCCCCAGGCGTGGGGCGTGTGCGCAGAGCTGCGCTCCAGGGAGGGCTGCACAGTGCCCCCGGGGCTGGGGAGGCACAGCCTGCGTGTAGCTGAGGATGCTGCTGGCCAGCTCTGATGGCAACGAGGAGGAGGAGGAGGCCACTTTCCGCGCTGAGGGCGGGTGGCCCAGTGGAGCTGCGGCTGTGCCATCCCTGGCAGTGTCCCAGGCCGAAGCGGGGGTCTTGGAGCAGGCTCGCTGCTGGAGAGGCGCCGGCTGAAGCCCTGTTGTTCATGGGCTTTGGGAGCTGCTTCGGGCGTGCCCCCGGCACGCAGAAGGCCGGAGAAGTGGAGGGAACGTGCCCGGGGAGCGGGGCTGCGCCGCAGGCAGGAGGAGATGCCGGGAGCTTTCCAGCACGCTCAGCTGCCTGCCGGGGAAGAGCGTCGCCTCCTCCACGCCTTCTGCAGCTTGGAGCACAGCTGCCGAAAGCTGAAGCGCGAGCGTGGCCTTGGTGCTTGCAGGATCAGCACCGTCTGAATCGCCAGCGACGAGACCGATTCGCTGGGGTCGTTTGCCAAGCCTCGCAGGACTGAGAGAACAGAGAAGGAGAGGCGAGGTGACGGCCCTGTACCCGCAGAGCGCCCGGCCCCCCGCAGACGTTGCCCCCAGCTCTCCGCACAGCCAGGAGGGAGCAGGGGACAGGCTCCTGCCATCCCCCTCCCTGGCTCACCTTGGCAGATGTCCTGGCTCTTGCTCTGGTGCTGATCCAGCAGGTGCCTCCCCACGAGCCCTGGGGACACACGGCCTGTCAGCGCCCCCGGCTGCTCCCCGGGGCGCAGCACGAAGGCACAGGGACGGGGGACGCCAGGCTCGCGGCTCACCAGTGAACCTCACAGCCTCCCGCCGCAGGGGCTCCTGCAGGCTCTGCAGGTAGGGCAGGCTCTGGGCCAGGTACTCCTCTGCTGCGCTGCTCCTCCTGGCCAGCTGCAGAGGGAAGGGCGCGGGCTCAGCGCAGGGCGGCCCCGGCCCCGGCCCCGGCCCTGGGTGCAGAACTGTGCGTACCAGGCACTCGCCGATCTTCCAGCTCTGCAGCGTCTCGGCCAGGTGCGCCAGCTGCCTCCAGCGCAGGAAGCGCGCAACACCAAGGAGGGCTTCCCGGGAGGCCTGCAGAACAGCTGAGATGGCAGCAGAGCCTGGGCAGAAGACCCTGCTCCCCCCCCGCAGCCCCTCCGCAGGGAGGGGGCCTCAGTGGAGCCTAACGCTGCCAGCAGCTGCAGCACCCCTGGTGCTCGGGGGCCCCCAAGGCAGGGCAGGGCAGGGCAGGGCAGTCAGCATCGCCCTCCCCCGAGGAGCAAAATGCCCACCTCGGCCACGCTCTCGTCCTGGTCGTGCAGGTGGAGGGACAGCGGGAGCAGGCTCCTGTGTGCCACCTGCTGCAGCTTCTCTTGGCTGCCCTCCACAAAGCCCAGCGTGTCGAGGAAGAGGCGAATAGAGAGAAGCCGCACCGTACTTGAGTCCTGGGGAGGGCGAGAGGAGGACATGGGTCCTGCTGTGGGCAAAGTCCCCGATCCCCCAAAAGCGCTCCCAAATGAGCCTGCCCAAGGGCTCGCGGCGCCCAGGGCTGGGAAGCGGGCAGGGAGAGCCCCCAGCGGGCTGTCCCAGGGACACAGCCATGGGGACGCAGCCTTACATCGCCAAAGAGGGCTGGGAGCTTGCCGGCCAGCTCCAGAGCCGCGAGGCTGAGCGTCCTCCCCTCCAGGAGCCGCAGCATGGTGCTGAGCACGGGCAGAGCGACAGCGCGGGTGTCGCTGTCTGCAGCCTGCAGCTGCTCCGTGATGCTCGGCAGCAGGAGGAGCGTTTGCCTCGCCTGTGTGAACAAAACACCTTCCTTTGGGGAAAGCAAGGACTGCCCCCTGGGCGAAAACACTCTCCCAGCCCGCCCTACGCCCCTTGACCTCCCCGCTGCCTGGCAAGGTGCCGAGCCACAAGAGCCCGGGGCCAGCCCAGCCCAAGCCGCGGCACTCGTGGCGTTGCCGGCTGCCCCCGCTCACCGTGGCCGGCCTCTCGGTGAGCCCCAGGATCGCCCTGAGCACCAGGCTCTGCATGCCCAGGCACGGGCTCCGCAGGTAGCTGGCAAAGAGGCTCGCGACGCAGTCCAGCTCGTCGCCGAGCTCTGTGCACTCCAGCAGCTGAAAAGGACGTGGGGCGCAGTGCCGGCTCAGCAGCAAGAATGCCAGGGCAGGAATGCCAGGGCACGGCCAAGCCTGGCCCCGAGGCAGCAGGGCTTGTGCAGAGCCCCACGTGGGCTCGCTGCTCCTGCTGCCCCTGCTCACCTTGCTGAGGATGACCATGGCCACCGTCTGCCAGGAGGAGGCCTCCGTGCGGAGCAGCTCAACCAGCTGGTGGATGATGGTGGCGCGCAGGCTCCTGGGCAACTCCTTCATTTCCCTGGCAGGGAGAACGGCAAGCAGGCGCCGTCAGCCCCGAGCCGGGCGGGCCCAGCTCTCCTGGCTTTGCAGCGCTCTCTTTTGCCACCAGCCCAGCGGCCACGGGCACCCATGCTGTGGCAGCACTTCCTCCGAGAAGCCCCTGTCACCTCCAGGGCTGGGATGGTGCCGACGAGGGGCTCTCACCTGGCCACCACCTGCACGCCCCAGAGGTGGCTCTCGGCGCTGAGAAGCGCGGCCCAGCCGCCCTGCGCCTCGATGGCCAGCACCGGGCTCCCCAGGCCCACGCTGCGGAGCAGCGCTTTCAGGGCCTGCACCGTGGACCTGCAGGCAGAGAAGGGCCCGGGTCACGCCGGGAGCCCCAGCCCTGGGCTCCTCTGAGCAGCAGGGGCCGGGGATGTGGCACCTGACGGGAGTGAGCAGGTCCTGCCGGTGCTTCTCCCAGAAGACCTGCACCTCCTGCAGCTTCAGCTCCGTGGTGAAGGACACTTGGAAGAGGAGGGCCAGGAAGAGCTGGGGGAAAATGGCCTTCGCCTCCCCCCGGCTGGTAGGCAGCAGGAGGATCTCGTGGAGGGGCCTTGCTGCCTGCAGGAAGCACCCGGAGGCGGAGGCGTGGGCAGGGAGGGACAGAGGAGGACGCAGCCCCCCAGGCTGGTGCCCCAGGGTGCAGAGAAGGCTGGCAGGGGCCAGGGGAGGGGAGCGGGGCCCCTGCCCCTGCCCCTGCCCCTGCCCCTGCCCCGGCCCCTGCCCCGGCCCTGGCCCCTGCCCCTGCCCCTGCCCCTGCCCGACGGAGACGCAGACGGGCAAGCGAGGAACTCACGGCCAGGGCCAGGATGCGCGGGTGGTCCTTGGTGGAGGTGGATGTCTTGCAGCCAGACTGGTTCATGAGGATGCGGAGCAGCTCGCGCAGCACCCTCTCTGTGGCTGGGGGCTCAGACACCATCGCCCTCCACATGGTGACGGCGACGCTGCGGGACCCCCGGGCTGTCAGCAGGGCCGCCCCCAGCCCGGCTGACGGCTTTGGGGGTGTGCGAGAGGAGCCCTGCTGGGCCCCGTACCTGGTGCAGGTCAGCGAGCACTGCAGCAGGCTGGCAACCGTCTCCCTGGGGCGCTTGCTGGCCAGCAGCAGCAGGGCCCTGTCCAGGCTCTGAAGGGCCAGCGCGGCTCTGACGGACGGCAGGCTTCTGTAGATGGCCCACACGATGTGGAGCACCTGCCGGTGGGACACGGCTGAGACTGGGCCGGCACCAGGGCAGGAACAGAGCCCCGAGGAGCTCTGGAGGCTGGAGCCGTGGCCGTGGCCGGGGGTGCTGGCGGGCACCCACCTGTCCCGAATGGAAGTCGGTCTCTGCCGCCAGCACGTCCACCATGTGGGCAGCCAGCTCGGTGCTGTGGGGACTCGGGGCTCTCATGCTCTGGACGGCTCTCATGCTCTGGCCCAGGCGTTCCGAGGGCTGCAGGTACTTCATGAAGATCTGTGGGAGGAAGGGCAGCACGTCAGCCACCGCGAGGGCTGCGACGGCCCCGCTCAGCCCTGCTGCTCCCAGCGCCCCAGGAGAGCTGGGAGCAGGGGCTGGGCGACGGCTGGGGTGCGGCCGCGTGCGGGCCCCGTGGGGACCGGGCTTTGTCGGGGACAGCGCCGGTCCTCTTGCTGCCGTCGCAGGGCCGGGCTCTCCTCCGGGGCTCAGGGCTCAGGGCTCAGGGCTCGGGGCTGGCGCTTCTCACCATGAACATCCTGTTGCTGTTGCTGTCTTCGGAGAGCCGCAAGGACAGCCGAGCTCGCCGGCTCTGCCAGCCCTGCAGCTGCTCGGCATCCTGGTCGCACAGCCTTGTGCCTGGAGAAAAGCGGACACAGTGTCTGTCGGCGGGGGGGCTGTTGTGCTTTGCCATATTAATCTGCCTCACACCTACACATAGCATTGCGCTAGTCATGACAGTACTCGTGGGCCTGATACAAAGCCAATAAAACAAGGTGAAATGGAGGAGTTAGGGATGGAGAAATAGCCCCCAAATTTGGTAATATTTCAGATGAATATTGCAAGTGTGCATGCTGGTAGATGATGGGGTGAAGAAAATGTACAGACCTGGGCTCTGAGATATTCCAACAGACAAATGAGTAAATTGTGTATGTTTTGGTTCCTATATGCCTTCTACTTGGTTATGTCCCTCCTGGCCCATCTTGAAGAGAGGGTACTTAGAAGAGGAAGGGTGCACTGTACCTAGAGGAGAAGAGTAAGGACTTCAGAAGAGAGCACAGTTCCCTGTCTTTTAGGGGAAAACGGATCCTGGGCCAGGAGCTGGCAGGGCTCATTGAGAGGGATTTAAACTAGGTAAGAAGGGGGATGGGGCTGAAGCAAGGATTGTTGGAGCTGTGCCAGGGGGAACAATAGCAAGGCCGGGGGATAAGGCAATGGCCCAGCTGAAGTGCATCTACACCAATGCACGCAGCATGGGTAACAAACAGGAGGAGCGGGAAGCCATCGTGCAGCAGGCAGGCTACGACTTGGTTGCCATCACGGAGACGTGGTGGGACCAGTCTCACGACTGGAGTGCTGCAATGCCTGGCTATAAGCTCTTCAGAAGGGACAGGCAGCACAGAAGGGGTGGCGGTGTGGCTCTCTATGTTAGAGAGTCTTTTGATGTTGTAGAACTCAAGGCTGGGAATGACAAGGTCGAGTCCCTTTGGGTTAGGATCGGCAGGGACAACAAGGCTAGCGTCCTGGTCGGGGTCTGTTATAGACCACCAAACCAGGATGAGGAGACGGATGAGGAGTTCTACAGGCAGCTGACAGAAGTTGCGAAATCTTCAGAGCTTGTTCTCGTGGGGGACTTCAACTTCCCAGACATATCCTGGAAGCACAACACAGCCCAGAGAAAGCAGTCTAGGTTTCTGGAGAGCGTGGGAGATAGCTTCCTGACACAGCTGGTTAGTGAACCTACCAGGGGTGGCGCCCCGCTAGACCTTCTCTTCACAAACAGAGAAGGACTGGTGGAGGATGTGATTGTCGGGAGCTGTCTTGGGCAGAGTGACCACAAAATGGTGGAGTTCTCTATTCTTGGCGAGGCCAGGAAGGGGACCAGTAAGACCGCTGTATTGGACTTCCGGAGGGCTGACTTTGAGCTTCTCAGGATCCTGGTTGGTACAGTCCCTTGGGAGGCGGTTCTGAAGGGCAGAGGGGTCCAGGAAGGCTGGGAGCTCTTCAAGAGGGAAATCTTAATGGCGCAGGAACGGTCTGTCCCCACGTGCCCAAAGACGAGCTGGCAGGGAAGAAGACCAGCCTGGCTGAACAGAGAATTGTGGCTTGAGCTTAGGAGAAAAAAGAGGGTTTATAATCTTTGGAAAAGTGGGCAGGCCACTAGGGAGGACTATAAGGATGTTGCGAGGCTGTGCAGGGAGAAAATTAGACAGGCCAAAGCTCATCTGGAGCTCAATCTGGCTGCTGCCGTTAAAGATAACAAAAAATGTTTTTATAAATACATCAACACAAAAAGGAGGACTAAGGAGAATCTCCATCCTTTACTGGATGCGGGGGGAAACTTAGTTATAAGAGATGAGGAGAAGGCGGAGGTGCTCAATGCCTTCTTTGCCTCAGTCTTTAGCGGCAATACCGCTTGTTCTCTGGATACCCAGTACCCTGAGCTGGTGGAAGGGGATGGGGAGCAGCATGAGGCCCTCACTATCCACGAAGAACTGGTTGGTGACCTGGTACGGCACTTGGATGTGCACAAGTCGATGGGGCTGGATGGGATCCACCCAAGGGTACTGAGAGAACTGGCAGAGGAGCTGGCCAAGCCACTTTCCATCATTTATCAGCAGTCCTGGCTATCGGGGGAGGTCCCAGCTGACTGGCGGCTAGCAAATGTGACGCCCATCTACAAGAAGGGACGGAGGGCAGACCCGGGGAACTACAGGCCTGTCAGTTTGACCTCAGTGCCAGGGAAGCTCATGGAGCAGATCCTCTTGAGAGTCATCACGCAGCACTTGCAGGGCAAGAAGGCGATCAGGCCCAGTCAGCATGGGTTTATGAAAGGCAGGTCCTGCTTGACGAACCTGATCTCCTTCTATGACAAAGTGACACGCTGGGTGGATGAGGGAAAGGCTGTGGATGTCGTCTACCTAGACTTCAGCAAGGCTTTTGACACCGTCTCCCACAGCATTCTCCTCAAGAAACTGTCTGCTCTTGGCTTGGACTGGCGCACGCTTCGTTGGGTTGGAAACTGGCTGGATAGCCGGGCCCAAACAGTCATGGTAAATGGAGTCAAGTCCAGTTGGAGGCCAGTCACTAGTGGCGTCCCCCAGGGCTCGGTGCTGGGGCCGGTCCTCTTTAATATCTTCATCAATGATCTGGACGAGGGCATTGAGTGCACCCTCAGTAAGTTTGCAGATGACACCAAGCTATGCGCATGTGTCGATCTGCTCGAGGGTAGGAAGGCTCTGCAGGAGGATCTGGATAGGCTGCGCCGATGGGCTGAGGTCAACTGCATGAAGTTCAACAAGGCCAAGTGCCGGGTCCTGCACCTGGGGCGCAATAACCCCAAGCAGAACTACAGGCTGGGAGATGAGTGGTTGGAGAGCTGCCAGGCAGAGAAGGACCTGGGAGTGATGGTGGACAGTCAGCTGAATATGAGCCAGCAGTGTGCTCAGGTGGCCAAGAAGGCCAACAGCATCCTGGCTTGTATCAGAAGCAGTGTGGCCAGCAGGGCTAGGGAGGTGATCGTCCCCCTGTACTCGGCGCTGGTGAGGCCGCACCTCGAGTACTGTGTTCAGTTTTGGGCCCCTCACTACAAGAAGGACATCGAGGTGCTTGAGTGGGTCCAGAGAAGGGCGACGAAGCTGGTGAGGGGCCGGGAGAACAAGTCCTATGAGGAGCGGCTGAGGGAGCTGGGCTTGTTCAGCCTGGAGAAAAGGAGGCTCAGGGGCGACCTTATTGCTCTTTACAGATACCTTAAAGGAGGCTGTAGAGAGGTGGGGGTTGGTCTGTTCTCCCACGTGCCTGGTGACAGGATGAGGGGGAATGGGCTAAAGTTGCGCCAGGGGGGTATTAGGGTGGATGTTAGGACGAACTTCTTTACCGAAAGGGTTGTTAGACACTGGAACAGGCTGCCCAGGGAAGTGGTGGAGTCACCATCCCTGGAAGTCTTTAAAAGACGTTTAGATGTAGAGCTTAGGGATATGGTTTAGTGGGGACTGTTAGCGTTAGGTCGGAGGTTGGACTCGATGATCTTGAGGTCTCTTCCAACCTAGAAATTCTGCGATTCTGTGATTCTGTTAGAAACAGAGGGGTGTTGGAATGGAGTGAAACTTGGGAATCTCACAGGGAACGTTCATACCACAATTCCCCAAAGACACGATAATATCACAGCTCCCAATTTTACCTGCCATAGTCTACAGGGTGACGGTTGGCTGATAACTGGGACATGTACAGCCCAACAATATGCCTGGCTGTGTAGATCGTAACCCCTTCTGGACAATGTGATTAAGCCAAACGTGCTTACTGGAATTCTGTTATTTTTCTAATCCATCTAATGGGAGTGCAAGTGAGGCTGAAGCCGACACGCGCGTGTGATCTCTCCGCACAGATGGGATTGGCAGCAAGCTTTATTGTGATGGCGGCTGGGGACTGGGGCCACGACGTCGGGCTGGAGCACGGCTGCTCCCGCGGCGTTGTTCAGGCCGGCTGTAGGGATTCGAGGCCCGACGTTGTAACCGGGAGCGGCTTCGTGTCCGGACTGGCCCGGTGTGGCTGCAGTGGCTGCTGCGTTCAGGCACCGGGGAATCGCTGGAGGACCCCGATGCCGTTTCGCTCTCAGAGCTGCTGCTGCTGCTGCTGCTGCTGCTCTGAGCACAGGGGGATGCAGCACGTCTGCTCCCACGCTGTCTCCGGGGCCGGCTCTGGGTATTTGTGGCCTGACGTAATGGGGAGCGGCTTCTTGCCCGGGCCGTCCCCTGCTGGCTGGAGCATCGTCTCTGTTTACGCCTTGGGGATCCACTGGGGGACCCCGATGCCGCCTGCCTGGGAGATCGAGTGGTGCTGCTGCTCCCAGCACTGGTTTGTGGTGCATGGCTGCTCCTGTGGCGTCTTCTGGGCCTGTTGCAGGTGTCTTGGGCCTGATGTAAATGTGGGCGAATTGTCCTCTGCTCTGTCCCCTGCTGCCTGGTGGGGCTGCTGCTCTCAGGTACCAGGGAACTGTAGGATGGCCCTGGTGCTGCCTGGCTGCTGGTGCTGCAGCTGCTGCTTTCAGGTGCTGGGGAGCCACAGGAGGGCCCCAGAACATCCAGACTGGAGGTGCCAGGGCTGGCGAGCCCCAGGTTGGCACTGCAAGCAGTAATGCAGGAACTGCTGAAGGTTCCTGGTGCTGTTTCACTGTCAGAGCGGCTACTGCTGTCACTGCTGCTCTGAGCACTAGGGGTTGTAGCATGTCTGCTGCCACACCGTCTTCCAGTCTGCCTCTGGGTATTTGGAGCCCGATGTAACGGTGAACGGCTTCTTCTCTGGGGTCGCCCCTGCTGGCTGGAGGATCGTCGCCGTTTACGTCTTGGGGATCCACTGGGGGACCCCGATGCCGCCTGCCTGGGAGATCGGGTGGTGCTGCTGCTCCCAGCACTGGTCTGTGGTTCATGGCATCTCCTGCGGCGTCTTTGGGGCTGGCTCTGGGCATCTGTGGCCTGATGTTCCAGCGGTGAGCGGCTTCTTCTCTGGGGTCGTCCCCGCTGGCTGGGAGGGAGTCTGCCTTCGGGCACCATGGAGTGACTGGAGGTTCCTGGTGCCCTCTGTCTGGCCAAGCTGGGCGTGCTGCTCTCAGCGCTGGGTTCTGCAG